AGAGTGTTATATTGCCTTCAAGTAGGACATCGGATTCAAAGTTGAAAGGAGGAGGAGCAAGCCCAGGATACTACTCTGAGGTTCACAAGAAAAGCAAAAGGCAGAAAATATAATGGGAAACACAACGCAAAAATCCCAGGAAACAGAAGTAGAAGAACCAGGACAGATACAACAAGAAGAAGATTCAAACTTTACATGTGAAATTTGCATCGAACCTATGTTAGCAATCAGGAAATTCAAGAATGGTAGCCTGTGTAAACATCCTTTCTGTTTGGACTGCATAGCCAAATATATTGAAGTAACAGTTGAGGAATCCACTGGCTGCATTGAATGCCCTGGGCTGAACTGCAAGCAACCTTTGGACCCTCTCTCATGCAGGCTTATCATCTCGAAGCCAATATTTGAGAAATGGTGTGATCATCTATGTGATTCTACGGTTTTAGGGTCTGAAAGTTGCTATTGCCCATACCGAGATTGCTCCGTGTTGGTTTTGAATGAGTGTATGGATAACCTGAAGAAGATAAAATGTCCTAACTGCAAGAAAAACTTCTGTTTTCTTTGCAAAATTCCGTGGCATGCAGGATACCGGTGCAATGAGAGCAGACATCTAAGAGATACGAATGACATTCTGGTTGGTGAACTGATTGAAGAGAAAAGGTGGACTAGATGTTACAATTGTGGTCACTCGGTTGAGCGAGTTAGTGGTTGCAGGGATATAAAATGCAAGTATGCTCTCCCTCTCCCTCTCCCTCTCCCCCTCTTTATGTATATCTGTCTCTCCATCTGCATAATAGCTGTGATTTGGGCATTTGAATTCTCTTACTAACAAATTATACAGTGGCATGTGATTGTTATTGTTTGGATTATGCAACACCGTTTCCCATAACATATACATGAGAAAATAATAAGAAGGAACATCCTATGATCATTTAAAGCTCATCAGAAGATGTATTTATGATTACTGAAAACAATTAATTTTTTAGAAAAATTTTAAAAACTAATGATTGTTAATTCGGTTAAACTGGATTGATGCTGTACGTTGGCTGGCTTAATTGACAACTTGTATACTTGAATGTCAAAGTTCTATCCGGCCTTGCTCCCAGAAGGTTTCTTCCATTCAAAATGATTCTAAAGATTTGGAGCTATACAGAAGGCAGATTGTATGCAATTGAAATCTTCCATTATTTAAAGTGTAGTTTACCCTGGTTAAGGGAGCTGAAATAACTCACAAATGATAAATTAAAACCAGCAAAAATCACATAAACTCAATTTGTGATTGGTGTATATTTCTGATTTCTTTTGATTATTAATGCAGATGTGGGGTTCAGTTTTGCCACCAATGTGGAGGGCCATTCCATTTCGGTCCTTGTAAGCACAAGTTCTGTGGAAATGTTCTTTGCAATATGTTTATTTTTATGATGTTACTGGCTTTCTGCTACTTCGTATATTTTGAAGTACATTCAGTCCCATCAAGAAAAGGGTAGACTCACAGTTGCGCTGGCCATGTCTAGATAAATTTTCGAGCGTGATGTTTAAGAAAGATGTTGTAACTTTCAAAAAAGTTTGTGAATGATGTTCTTCTAGTACACAAAAATAATATACTAGTTTGTTCGGTGGTTAGGTTAGAACTTAACAGGGGTTAGTTTTGTTCTATCCTTGAACCTTTTCTACTTGGGAGATGAACATCCATGAAATTCTGGACATGTTCAGTTATTGTTACAGGGAAAGTTCTGATTTGTTGATCTGATTCGTAAAAATGTCACATCATTCTGATTGATTATTTATACAGCAATATCATTCTGCCTTGCTGGTTCAGCAAACAATACAGTTGGAAACATTCCACAGCTTATTGCATTATGAGGGAGCACGAATGCCATTGCATTTCATATATTCAGTGCCCACTCCTAATTTGCAACTTATTTGAGAAGGCATGGCCTAAGTACAGCAGTAGAAGGGCCGTAGCCGAAATACAGCAGAAAGGCCATAGAAAGCTGAAACAAGATTAGTAGCCAGGAAGGCATCAATCAGAGAAAAAACGGAACTGCGATGAAAACAAAAGTCAGAGAAGGCAAAGTAGGAGACCCAGAAAGAAATGGAACCAGCCAGCTATCCATGGAGTCAGTAACTTGACCCAAAAAGCATTTTTTAGCAGAAATTGCTTTCATCACCGATCTCAATTTCGAGGAAATGAATTCGGATCGGTCACGTTACTAGCTCATTTGATGAGTCATGCATGAGTTTTTCAACAATAAAATTATAAAACGATAAAATTAGCTCAAACATCATTTTCTAAACCTTCACATAAAACAAGCTAGTCTTTCTAAAGACGTGGACTTGCAGAATCTTGGATAGAAAATTATAAGCTCGTTTCTTTTCACTAATTGTTTAGAGCAAATAAACCTTTTACCACTAGTTCATAAATAAATCTCTAGCTTTTCTCAGTAAACTGATTTATAATAAGATTCACGACTAATTATCCATATCTATCAGATTTTTCATCTTGATCATATCGTAGAGCATGGAAGCAGAACTGTCAGGAACTGTTTCAAGATTTGACATTTACTGGAAGAAAGTCAGCCTTTTGCGACGCAGAATATCATAAGGTAACTTTCCGTGTCCACCAAGAGTCAAGTGATGGCATTCCTTCACTTGAATTAGAGCTTTGCACAGGGAAGATAAATTATCACAGTTGCTGTTGTTTGAACTACATTAAGAATAAGTTTGAGATATAAATATGATAGTGACATTGTATTTCTCGCCGTTGTCTAAATTATGAATCGTAGCTAATATATAATTCTAATAAACAGAACTCGTGGTTAATAAAATTTGTTATTTTTTTTAAATTTTTTAAAGGATTTATCTTTTAAATACATAGATAAATATGGAGGTGAAAAAAATTAATTAACTCATATTAATTTTAATTGTTGTATAAAACAATACAAGGTTGACATTGTTCTTGACCATAAAAAAATATATTAAGTAAGAATGTGTTTGAAAATATGACAACAATTATGATTTAAGATATTTGTTGTATAGAAATATATTAAAATAATATATTTTTTTAATTATTTTAATATCAATATATTAAAACAATATAAAAATATAAAAAAAAATTAATTTTAAATAAAAATTAATTTTAAATTGTGGTGTATTTATATAAATAAAGTTTAAATTGTTAAATAAAATTAACTTTTGTGAATTGTGTATTGCTTATATCCAATCCATTCATCATGTCATTGTTGTGGAGTAGTTGGGAATTTGTTTTCTTAAGTCGAAAATTCAAGCCAAATTATTTCTTCACTTGATCACTTGAAATATTGAAGTTTTTTTAAATTAACAATTGATCTTTTTAAACTAACTTATCATTGACTAAAATTAAATTCATATTTCAATTTTTTCATACTACCTTGTAATTGACTAAAATTAAATATATTACAATTATAATTATATTATAAAATATACTAAAAGGGCTAAGTAAATCACTCGAGTAATCCAGAGTATCATAAATTTTTTCCTAATAAAACTCATGTTCCACCAAAAGTGATAAAATTATCTCCATCTTAAATTTCTTTCTACTAATATTTATTTTTTTTCTTTAAAGTGGATCCAAAGAATAACTAATATGATGTTACTAGTTATTTTTTTAGTATTATATAAATTCTTCTTTCTATGAACAAATTAGTGACTAATTTCTAAAAAAATATCAAGGAAAAGTTTTTTAATAAAAGAGGACCAAAGTGTAAAATAAAAATAAATCCCATTGCCATTCTCAAATTCACATGAAAAAAAAACTTTTAGTTCACCTATTTTTTTCAATCCCTATAGTTTTTGAAATTTTAATTTTGATCCACAAACTCATTTTTATTATTTTTCAATTTCTTGATGTGAGAGACATGAAAGTAATTGAATTACGATTAAAGTCATTGGTTGACTATATTTTGAAAAAAAAGAAGATTAATCATGGTGTTAACAGACTTCATTTAATGAGAGGATCCCGTTGAGCTATGTTTAAACCTTCATCTTTTTTAAAAAAAGTGGATTAAGGTCGAGAGATAAATTAGTCGGTTTGATTTTGTATTTTTTATAATTTTTTGGGTTGGTAAATTGGTTTATTTTATTTTTTAAGATTGTTTATTATGTTATTTTAGATAAAAATAAGTTGAAAATAAAATTTTAAATAAAAAATAATCCAGGCAGACAATGCATTGTATGCCTTTCTTTTCTTTTTCTTTTTCTTTTATTAAAAAATAAAGGCATGCAACGTATCATTTTGCTTTAGTTTTTTTAATGAAACATAGATGAATGACATGTTATGTTATAATCTGTCTACTATCAGAAAAAAAAAGAAAAGACCTATGGCCTTGACCTTATAGGCCCACACGTGTGACCTTCTTTGTTAATGGGTCAGGCCACTTAAGCCCAATCACTAGGTCCTTTTTTAGTTTTAATCTTTTTAAAAATATATATTAATTAAGTTTAAGTATAGAATGCATGATTTGTTTGATTTTAATTGAGATTATTTAAAATAAATTACTTAAACAAACTTTTATGATGTTTTTAAATAAAATATAATTTAATTTTTACTTAGCTTGCCAATTTTACTTTACTAGTAGGGTAAAGATGATCTTCTTTTCATTAGTGCTCCTTGACAAGGCGTTGCTTTTATGCCACTTCAACTGCCTTGATAATCGGGGAATAAAACAAAGAGCATAGGTGATTTTTTTTTTTTTTTTGTTTGTTTTTTGGCTGAAGTAAACTTGTTATTTGATTAGTCTCAAGTGTCATGAACCTTCATATCAGCATTGAAGCTAGCTGAAAGAGTTTTGTATTGCCCAGGTGGGAATTTCTGAAGCAAAAGGCAGAAAATATAATGGGAAACACTACGCAAAAATCCCAAGTGGAAGAAGTAGAACCGCTGCTAAAAGAAGAAGATTCAAACATTACTTGTGAAATTTTCATCGAACCGGTGCCATCAATCAGGAATTTCAAGAATGGCAGTTTGTGTAAACATCTTTTTCTGCCAGGACTGCATCGCCATATATGTTGAATTAACAGTCAGGAAACCACTGGCAGCATCCAATGCCCTGGACTGAGCTGCAAGCAACCTTTGGACCCTCTCTCATGTAGGCTTATCATCTCGAAACCCATACTTGAGAAACGGTGCAATCGTCCATGTCATTCCCACGGCTTTAGGATCTGAAAGTTGCCACTGCCCATACCGAAATTGCTCCGAGTTGGTTTTGAACGAGTGTAGGGATAAGCTGAAGAAAATTAAATGTCCTAACTGCAAGAAAAACATCTGTTTCCTATGCAAAACTCCATGGCATGCAGGATACGGGTGCAATGAGAGCAGACATCTAAGAGATAGTAATAACATTCTGGTTGGTGGACTGATTGAAGATAAAAAGTCGACTAGATGTTATAACTGTGGCCGCTCCGTTGAGCGACTTGGTAGCCACTACTAGAAAATTTATAAATATAAATAGAAATACTGAATGATTTTTTCTATTAATATTTTATGGTAATTTTTACCGATTAAATTTTTTTCATTACAAATTATATTTTTATTTATCAACAGAAATATACCATTGATATATACTAAGGAATCCCAATCAGAATAAAAAAAATTAAAAAAACCAAATAGTTTAATGACGTGTAAGTTTTATAAACGTTGTTATCGATAGAATTACAATTGAATTTAAACAGTAAAGATGTACAATGATATGTCATTTGGATTCAAGTACCAATGGAATTAAATGCCATTACCAATTACCAAAAAAATAATTTTATCAATATATTCTAGTTCTAGTAAATAATTTTTTTGGCGTATATTATTCATCTATAAAACTATTGGGGTTTATCTTTTTTTACTATGAACATTCCGGTAGAAACTAAATTACTAACGAATAGTTTTTTGATAGACAATTTTAGTTTGTGAATCAGTCAATAAAATATACATCTACAAGATAATAAAATAAATATTGACAAAATATTCCATCAATAAAACTGTTAAATGTAGTTGTTAGCAGCCATGCTATAGATTGCAAGTAAGCTCTTTCTCCATCTGGATTTTTCTTTCTTTTACAAACAAATTATATAGTGACAGGAGATTGTTGTAGTTTTGCATTATGCAACACAGTTTCCTACGAGAAAATAATATAATGGATTGAAAATGAAATCAAAATGTTGGGTTGAAGGTTTCTTCTCTTCAAAATGAATTTTGCAATGATCTGGATACATACAAGTACTAGGCAGATTGGATGTTGTTGTAATCTTCCATTATTCAAAATGTACCTTACCCTGGTGAAGGGAACTTGTAATTTGAAATATGTTTAATTTTCTCTTTTCCAAATAGCCGACAAATGATAAAAATAAAACTAGGAACTTGTTGAATTTTATTTCTATAATATTGCACTTGTTATTCTAATTATAATTAATACTACAATATGTGCTTAAAAAAAATATTGCATTACACTCTATATTTTTGTTGTCCTTATATTTTTTTCTATTTAAATTTACTTTTTATTAATTGTAGAGCTTATAAAATTGTGAAAAATTATGAATTTTGTTTTATCAACTCTTTAGACTTAAATATCTAGCAGTTCATGCTTAAATATATAATATTATATTTTGGTTTTGATTAATATCCACAATAAAATTATAAAATAAGTTTTACTTTTACTTTTACTTTTACTTTTATTTTTTATATTACGTTTTTACTTTATAACTATCATGGACTTGATCTTGAGTGATGATTTTAGAACCATTGATGAGCAAAACACCGTAAACTTGGTATAACTAGG